TTGTACAGCAATTAACCACTAGGAAGAATGTATGCAATGTGTTAATTATTGAAACTATCCTACCAATTTGATTTGAAACTGTCTCATTGCTATTTCTCAATAAAATTATGAAAAAAAATTAAAAAAAATAAAAACACTTTACAGATAGAATCAGTACTAAAATATTAAAGGATTTTGTGCACTACTAAGTTATAACAACTTAAGTAAAACTAATGAAAATAGTAAAAACCAAAAATCGCTAAATTTTCAAATCTGTGACCATAACAAAATATTTCCACATTCTTCTCTCAGTTATAGGTGTTACTAAAAGATAGAAATTTTAAACCAGGCCTGGATTGGGGATATAGCTCAGCAGCACAGTGCCTGACTGGCAGGCATGAGGCTGTGAGTTCCATTCCCGGTACCAAATAAAAGTGGACAGTGTATCATTGGTTAAAACAGGCCTGGTGCTGCATACCTGTGATCCCAGCATTGGGGAGGCTGAGGCAGGAAATTGGGAGCTGAAGACAGTCTTTGGCTACATAGCCAGACCTGTGTCCAAAAAAAAAAGAAAAATCAGGCAAGGTGTGTAGAAACCTACACCCAGTCATTTGAAAGGACCTATTCTTCTCAAGCATACATAAAATATTTATAATAACTAAGCATTACCTCTTAAAGTATCTCAATATATTTTTAGGATCATTATTAAACACTATTTATTTATTTATTTTGTGTGTGTGTGTGGCCAGCTCAGCCCACCAGGGGGCGGGGCTGGCTGGCATGTGGTGCTGGGGGATTGAACCGCGGTCCCTTTGCTTTGCTAAGCTTGTTCTAAGTAGGTGCTTTAGACCACTGAGCCATCTCACCAGCCCCATGTTTAATGTTTTTAAAATCACTTCCATGTAGCTCCTCAAGGAGCAAATCATAAAGTTAAAAAAAAAAAAACCTTACACGGGAGTGGCAGCGCACACCTGTCATCCCGGCACTCAGGAGGCTGAGGCAAGAGGATCGCCATGAGTTTGAGACCAGCTTGGATTACATAGTGAGTTCAAAGCCAGTTTGAACTACACAGCAAGACTCTGTTTCGGGAGGAAAAAAAAGAAAAAACGCAACCAGTTTATAATTGATCTGCATGAATGTACTGGGTATCAACCTGAAGATGTAGGAATGCAGGAGGCAGGGAAAATACAGAATCTTCGGTGTCAGTAAGAAAAGGCACCCACAGCTGACCACCACTGAGTTGAGGGCGCCCTTCATGAGCATGAAGAAGCTGTTACTGTGTGAACACAGAAACAAAGTAACAAGCAGATAAAAGGAAGCCAAGGCAGAGCTGATTCTCTAAAAAGACTTACGAAATAGATTACCTTCTGCTAGGTCCAAAAACTGAGAAAAGCTTAATGAAACACAATTAGAAATGGAAATGGAAATGAAAATTTCATTAGTCAAAATGGAAATAGCCTTCCAAGAGCTGGGGTTACAGGCGCACGCCACCACACCCAGTCTCAATTGCTGTCTAAGTAACAAGCAGATAAAAGGAAGCCAAGGCAGAGCTGATTCTCTAAAAAGACTTACGAAATAGATTACCTTCTGCTAGGTCCAAAAACTGAGAAAAGCTTAATGAAACACAATTAGAAATTGAAATGGAAATTAAAATTTCATCAGTCAAAATGGAAATAGAAACTTAGGATGGACAATAAGATTAGGAACAAGTTATTATCAAAAATGGATCAGTTAGACGCCCGGAGCAATTCCTAAGTAGCTTAAAAAGGTCCTCTACCGGCACAAAGAAGCAATGGATCTGCAGAGTTTTAGAATTAAATCAGCCCCGCGGTGAATAAGCTGCTAGGTTCGCTGGCTAAGGCTGCCCTCACACAGCACCCAAGCCTGCGCAGCTTGCATGAGAGGAAATCTGTTTTCAGTCCTGGGGCTCAGGGTCCCAAGTCAAAGAGAGAACCCATTCTTCATGGGTACAAACATGCATGGATGAAAACTGGGGAAAAATGGAGGAACATACGAAAGACCACTATGAAGCCGACTTTTCTATCTCTATAATTTTTCACTTATGTATTTGGTACAGGGTCTCACTAACCAGATCGGACTCATAGTGATCCTCCTGTTTTCAGCCTCCCCAGAACTGGGATTACAGGCGTGTGGCACCAGGCCCATTTTCGGTGGCTAGCTTGGCATTCCTGGGGTTCCAGGGCCAGCACAGCATGTGGTACCAGGGATCAGACTTGAGTCCTGCACTTGCCAGACAGGTGTTTCAACCACCAAGCTACCTCCCCAGCCCTCAATATAATTTAAATAGAAGTAAAATATAACCTCAAAATAATAAGCCGAAACAAGTCCAGGGTAAAAGGCCACAGGGGAAGGTGACATATGCCACTGGTGACCGAACTTCCGCAAATGCTGCTTTCCCAAGAATTCATTTTGCTGTCACCCATCATAGAAAACCACTCTGCTCCCATCCACAAGCTGTATTTATTTTACATGTTTTTCTCAGTTTTTTTTTTTTGGGGGGGGGCTCTTTTTGAGGCAGGATCTCGCTATGTAGCTCAGGCTGGCCTTCAGCTTTCTTTGTAGCTGAGGCTGGCCTCAAACTCACAACGATCCCCCTGCCTCAGCCTCCTGAGTGCTGGGATGACAGGCATGTGCCACTACTCCTGGCTTAAATATTATATATTTTTTTATAAAAAGTTTAAATGCCCCTTGCTATCTTGGAGGTTTAGTATTGTCTTGGCTCTGTCATCAATGTATTTATTTTATTTTATTTTTTAGGGAAGGGTTTACAGGGTGTTCAGGGTCTCACTAGTAGACCAGACTCGTAGTGATCCTACTATGAGGAAAGCTCAATGAAACACAATGAGAAATGGAAATGGAAATGAAAATTTCATTAGTCAAAATGGAAATAGCCTTCCAAGAGCTGGGGTTACAGGCGCACGCCACCACACCCAGTCTCAATTGCTGTCTCAGTGCCCACCCCCCCCCCCCCCCCCCGCGCCTGCTTGCAGGAGCTTTAATCCGCTGAGCTATTTGGCTGGTCCTTGTCGTAAATAATCAAGGGATCTAAGATGTATGATTTTGTTTCCTTTTCTAATTTAAAAACATCGCCAGATCTTAGATGTGAATGAGTATACCAGAGCAGTTTTTCCAGCAACTTTGTGGGCATTTGGCCACAAATCCACCAAACAATTCACCAAAGGCTTAAGGAAGGGGCAGCAGGCCTGGCCTTGCCTGAAAGGTTTTCAAGGCCAGAGAGGGTGTGATAACGTCCCTAGTGGACTCTGCTGCACGACCAGTAAGGCCCTCTCGCCCCTTCTTTCTCTCCTAGCCCAGCCCCCACTCTGGAGGAGGTCAGCGCTTGGGCACAGTCTTTCGACAGCCTGATGGCCACACCTGCGGGAAGAAACGCTTTCCGGGAATTCCTGCGCACAGAGTTCAGTGAGGAAAATATGCTCTTCTGGATGGCCTGTGAGGAACTCAAGAAGGAGGCTAATAAAAACGTCATTGAAGAGAAAGCAAGGATCATATATGAAGACTACATTTCTATTCTTTCTCCGAAAGAGGTTTGTGCCCTAAGGCTCTCCTCCCTGGACTGTCAGTAGAACTTGTCCCGTCTGTGCGCATTGTGTCCACCTGTGTGGTCTTGAGCTGGGGGGCCCTCCACCATGCCCACGGGAAGTTGTGCAGCCAGGCTGCCACCAGGGACTCAGGGGGGCCATCTGTGGAGCTGGGGGGGGGCTCTAAGCCAAGACGTAGAGGTAAGTAGGGTAGGGCAGGGCACAGAAGGGACATCAGGATAGCTGGAGCTCCTCCTCCAGTGCCAGAAAGGTCAGGCCCACTTTTCAGTGGGACAGTGAGGCAGGGCTGAGAACTGGCAGATGGGACTGACCCCAGGGCCTGGCAGGGCCTGAGCTGGGTCTTGCGGCACCCACTGTCCTGTGTAAGGCCCGTGACTGAAACGTAGGCAGAGCCCCGAGTCTCTTGGATGTCTTGGGCTTGTGGCCACCCCGGCAGGCAGCAGGGGCCTTCTGGAGGGTGAGGGACGGTGTGGCTGCAGACAGCTCGCTGGCGTCCAGGCTTGAGTAGATGCTTGGCTCGTTGTCTTTGTGGCTTGGTGTTCGCACCATGGGCTACACCAGCTAAGCATGGTCCTGGTTTTATATTAATAATGCACAGTGCATGGTTTTGGGACTGTCGCAAAGAGAAGCTGTGGTGTTCCCCGTCACAGCTTTGACCTGGCTTCTTGGCTGGTGTCCTGCAGGCAAGACTGAGCCTGGAGTCTGCCACAGTTGATGAGACAGTCTGATAGGGATACCAAAACATCGGAGGGAAACTGTGTCCAGCACACAGGGTAGGTCAGGGTCTTCAAGTACGTGTGTGTGTGCGTGTGTGTGTGTGTGTGGCCAGCTCAGCCCACCAGGGGGCGAGGCTGGCTGGCATGTGGTGCTGGGGGATTGAACCGTGGTCCCAGTGCTTTGCTAAGCTTGTTCTAAGTAGGTGCTTTAGACCACTGAGCCATCTCACCAGCCCTTCAAGTACGTTTTTATTAAACCCTCAGCAAAGATCTAGAGACCACCACTACCATCATCTCATTTCATCTCATTAGTAGGAATCATATTTAACTTGATTATGGATACGACAACTGAGATTTAAATACAGGTATCACTGGCGCTTAGGTCCTGAGATTTCTACATGGATTCCACAGGCGTATCCAACCCTCTGTGGTGGGTGCTGGTTCCCAGAACCCTGCTGCCGTTGTCTAGCTGGGGAAAGGCCTGTGGCATCTCGGTGTTAGCCCTTACGTTGCTAGGAAATGAGCAGAGGCTGTGTGTGTACTCTTTAAGGAACCAAAAGAATGCTGTGGTTTCCTAGGACAGTGTGCTCCGCCCCCCCCCCCCACCAGACTATGAACTTGAGAAACTCGTAAGACTCACAGGTGTGGCCCTCCCCCCCACTCACTGTCCAAATCCCTGGGGTTGGGGTCCAGCTGCTTCCTAGGCCCCTCAGGACACAGGGCTCTGAAGCTGGGCACTTTGTCCATTACATCTTTCATTTCTTCTTTGGCTATTTGGCCTTTTGGACCTTGTTGGGTTTGGGGTTTTGAAAAATGAACCTAAGCTACGGGAAGTAGGGAAGTAGCGGTGGGCATCCAGAGTGGCGTCCAGTGCAGCTCTTCTGTGCTTCTGCCAACAGGTGAGCTTGGACTCACGAGTAAGGGACACCATCAACAGCAACATGGGTGAGCCGTCTGCGCACACGTTCGATGATGCCCAGCTGCAGATCTACACCCTCATGCACAGAGACTCGTACCCCCGGTTCATGAGCTCCACCGTCTACAAGGACTTGCTTCAGTCCTTAACTGAGAAAGCAGCTGAGGCGTAGCAGGCTCCAAGCGTATTTATTATGAAGAAAACGCTAAGAGAACTACAGGACTACACCTAGCACAGGGGATGTAGAGGTAGTGACAACTTCTGGGGGGCTACTTTAATAACACACGCTTCCTTTGTGCAACATAAGGCCATATGTTCAGTGTAAACTGCAGCCAGCTTTAGTGATACCTCTGAGGGAAACTGGGATTTGGCTGCTTAAGAGATGGTCGCGGGGCTGGGTGTGGTGGCGCACCTGTAACCCCAGCACTTGGAAGGCTGAGGCAGGAGGATCATGGGGAGTCCGATACCAGCCTGGGCTGCAAAGTGAACTCAAGGACAGCCTGAGCTGCATAGTGAGACTGTCTCAAAAAGACAAAAGAAAGCAAATATTTACGTTTACAGGGCCAGAAGTACCTCCTGCTGGCCAAGGGTGCGCTGGAGCGCCCCCCTTCCCAGCAGGTGCGTCCATCCACAGGAACAGGCCGGGCCGCTCTTGCATGAGCCCAGCCACCGCTCATCCCCAGAGGACAACGTCCAGGTGCTCCTCAGCGGCCTTCTCATCCCTCCAGGCCCGGCCTGAGTACTTCACTTACCGTCGCCTTGACAAGACCGAAATTCACGCTTTAGACGCATGACCACGACTTGCACAAACAGTAATCCACTTTGTCCTAGCGTATGTGTGTGTGTCCACAGATATGTATGTGCACACCCACACCTGTAATGTGCTCTCATGTGCGTGGGTCTCGGATGTTTGGTAAGAGAAGCAGGACTCAAAAAATTCTTTGATTGAAAAGAGTTAACTTATTTTATGATCAGAATTTTTACGTCTCCTACCTTGGTCACAGTAAGAACAAACTTTCTCCATTCCTATTATTGAAATATGGGCATTTTCACTCCAAAAAATAAAGCACAAGAGTCTTATCTCCATTTCAATTTTTCCATATGTAAATATTTGAGAAACACCAGTGAGTAGGGACGCGTGTGCGGTGTCTTAGCTCACATCAGTGTTCTCAGATGCCGCTGCTTCCAGCACAGGCAAAGGGAATAACTTGACAGCTTAAGAGCGAAAATAGCTCGGCATAAAGAAACCACCCGGATTAAACCTCTGCATACAATTCAAGGAAGGGAGGCCAGGCCACCTCTGCATACAATTCAAGGAAGGGAGGCCAGGCCGCCTCAGGAGGAGGTCAGACCTTAGTGTTTCAGACACTGCTCTCTGCTCCCCAGGACAGACCAGGACAGACCCAGGCTTTTGGTCTGAGCTGCACCCCTTGATTTTGAACTAAGTTACTACCCAGACTGGGCTGACACCTGTGACTTTTCTGCCTCAGCCTCCCAAATCGCTGGGATTTGGCTGGGTGCCATCAGCCGTCTCGAGCATCTCCCTGGGCCCTTCCAGTGTGACCCAAGCTCTGCTACTGCTCAACTCCAACATGAAACCTTTGCCCAGCTCCCTCATTCGTGGTAAGCCATCTATCTGCTCTACATGCAGCCTGCCCAGCTCCAACCCCAGTACCTCCTGGGTACCCGCACATGCGGATCGATCCGCATCTGCTCACTTCCATCAGCCTGCTCCCAGCAGTGTGTCTTCCTTTCTCTCCAAGATTTCAGCCTCCCATGTGGGTTGGTGATTCCATTAATGGTTGTGTAATTAAGACACTGATGAGTCCAATGCAGTGCAGTGGCTGAAACACAGGGATGAAGAGAGGAGGGGAGACTGCCGGGCAGTGGAGGCGTTTTGGTGGTGGGACACAAAGCGAACACTACTGAACAAAGATGGGGTGGAGAGGTGGGGGTGGCTGAGGCTGAAAGGGGAGGTCACTGCGTGGCCCCACATGAGTGTAGGGACCACACTGAGGATGCAGTCACTGGATACTAAAAAGTAGGTGGCAAGAAATGGGTGGGTGGCAGGCCCTGGAGGGTCGTGGCTCAGGCAGGACTACTGGTCAGTTTTTCAGAGTAGGCAAAAGAGGGCCTGGAGGGAGGTGGGAGTAAGTGCAGAGCGAGGGCCTCCAGGGCACAGAAACTCAGGTCCAAAGACCACGGAGCAGCAGTGGCCTTGGCTCAGGAGAGAGGGCAGCGTATGCCCGCCGGCGGAGAGGGCCCTCAAGGCACCTCCAGCCGAAAACGCAGTGCTGCCTCAGAGGCCTTGTGACATCAGGGACAGCCCCCAATGTCAGGCCCTACCTCCCGCCCTTCCAGGCACCACACAGATCTCTATGGTCTGCTGTCGCTATTTGCTCGCTCCTGGGTGGCGGAGGGAGCCTAGCAGTTCAGGCCTTGGGCTCCGGGGCCCGGCTTCAACCTCCCCCACTGACATGTTGCAGTGTGGGCTTAACCTTCCAGGGCCTGTTTCATTTGTAAACATGGAGATAACAAAGGGTACCTGCCCTTAACACTGCTCTGAGGACTAAAACTGACCGAGGTAACCAGGTATAGTGGCACACACCTGTTATCTCAGCACTCAGGAGGTTGAGGCAGGAGGACTGCAGCAAGTTCAGGGCCAGCCTGGGCTACAAAGTGGCTCAAGGCCAGCCTTAGCTGAACTAAGCAGTGAAACTATCTCAGAAAACAAAAGTAACCCTAATCCAGATAAACTAGAAGTACGGTATGTTAAGTTATTGCTGTCATTACTTAATCATTAAATGACAGCCCCTAGGATTTGGGCTTTGGCTTGCTTTTCTAGTGTACATGCTTTCTGCTGGTTTTCATATCCACCCCCCCCCCAACTGCCTGAAATACCTAGAGTACACTGGAGACGACCCACCCATGAAGACCCGGCCTCAACTGCCCCAACCTGCACCCAGCCGTCATCTCCTCTGATCCAGCGCTCAGATGGGCAAGCCCAGACTTCTGCCCTGTGCACCTCACCTCCTTGCAGGCTACCCCGGCATGACTCAGCAAGCACAGATCTGGGGGTGTTCATGCCTCCCTTTCCTCCCGAGATTTCGCAGCAAGGTGTGCCAATTGCTCAGCATGACCCATGAGCCCCCTGCCTCCCCGCATGGGATGACCTGGTCTGACCCCTGACCTAGCTTCCCTATGTCACTGCCAAGGCCGCCCACTCCTGCCCCATCTCAGCCCACACACACCACCCTTCCTGTCTTCGGTGACCTTTCTCACACACAGCCCTGCTTATCACTAACCCTCCACTCAGAAGCTTCAGGAACCACTGACTGCCTGGAGCACAAACACCAGCTTCCTAGCCTGGCCTGTAAGGACCTCACTACTCTCCTCCTCTAAGCAGGAGCCACCAGCTGACAGCGCCAGGCCCAGTGTCATACCTAATGTGAGTACCGGGTGTCCCCTCAGGGTTGGGACACCGTGCAGACACTGACCACCTGCTGTCACACGTAATGCTCGTGTACAGTCTCTACTAGACAGCCAACCCTAGCTTACTCATGGTGTCTTTCAGTCAGCTTAGAGCCAAAATCAATAAACATTAGCATTACAGACTTCGTACAAAATAAAATTGCAGCTCCAAATTGTTTCCAATGTATACTCAGAAAGATACCGCCATCGCCTGTATGCCGAGTTCACTACTGTGGGTGGACAGCCCGTAAACCCCGTATGAATCTCAAATTAGCCTGCAAATACAATTCCAAGATGTTTGCTTTTAAGTAAAATTGGTCTTGTTGGGATGGCTGGCTCTCCATTTGAACCAATGGATACACACTGCAAATGGTTTAATGATCTGAAAGTTTTAAAAGAATGTAAGTATACTAGAAGAAAATGTAGGAAACATTTTTATATTTTCTTTTTTTTTTTTTTTTTGAGGAAGCGGGGATTGAACTCAGGCCCTTGTGCTTGCCAGGGAAGCGCTTATTCCACTGAGCTATCTCCCCTGCCCTCATTTTTATAATTTCTAATGAAAATAGTTTTCCTAAGACAAAATTCAGAAACCATGAAATACTAATAAATTATAAAGTATCTTCAAATTTCACACCATGAAAAATTGATAAACTTCAAGTTCTAAATTAGGGTATGGATATATACGTTTACAGACATATGTAGAACATTTCACAACAGCAAAGTACATTTTCAAATATAGGATATTTTCTAAGACAGGCCTCAAGTGATGTCATGAAACAAGTCTTAATGAATAAAAGATAGAAATCATACCAAGAATCTGCCAACCACAATGGATTCAAACTACAATAAAATGAAAAAACTGAAAAATTCATAAATACGTGAAAACTTACATGTTCCTGAATAGCCAAGGGGTAAAAGAAGAAATCAGAAGGAAAAGCAGGAAATGTGTTATGACAAATGAAAACACACAGCAAAAGCTTAAGGAATGCAGCAAAAGAAGTCCTAAGCGATAAGTTTATTACAATAAGCCATTAGAAGAAAAAATACTTCATATAAATGAACTTACCTCAAGAAGCTGGAAAACACACCCTGCACTCTGAAAGGCCAGAAGCTGGAGGAAGAGCCCGGTGAGGACTCTGGCACGAGTCCCGATGGCGGCGACAGTGGCTCCGGAGGAAGAGAATTAAAAAGGAAAACTAATCTTTTGTGCAGCTGATGGTATAATTGCCTTTTGATGCTAATGTTTTGGAAGAACCTTGAATGCTGGGAGACTTTCAAACCCTGCTGCTCATAATCTTCAGTCCTTTTTTGATCACTTTAGATTTTTTTTTCTTTTTTTTTTTAATTGGCAGAACTGGGGATCGAACTCAGGCCCTTATGCTTGCCAGGGAAGCACTTATTCTACTGAGCCATCTCCCCAGCCCCTTTTTTGATCACTTTAGAACTGGGATTGCCAGGTAGAAGTTAGTTTACTGATAAGAAGACATGACCATTATCTGCCTACCTCAGGAGCCTCGGTGGACTGGAGCACACGTACCCAGGAGTACGTGTACCCATCTCGTACCACTCCCGCGTAGGGCTCTATTCTGGTGTCAAACGTTGACAACGTGAGGACTGACTTTCTAATTAAAACCATTACTAAACAGGACAAGGTGTGGCTTTTAAACTTCTATTGAAATAGCATATTTTAAAATGTCTCTT